ATTTCACTTTATTCTCACTTCTCTTGACAACCGCTTTTGATGATGCACGTGGAAATTTGCCTGATCCTTGACGCGATCGCGGACAGAAGCACAACGTTGATTCTGCGCAATTTTGATCTAATATTTAATGTTTTTAAAATGTTTGATTTTATGTAGCAAATGAGAATGCCATGACATGGTTACATTCACATGCTAATCACCATATTAAAATGAAACATCCTGTTTAAAAAAATATCATATAATACAATATTATATTTATTTGTTACTTCAGTAAAGCCAAATTAAATTATTATGGGATCTCATTCAATGCTTTCAGAATCTTAACTTTTTTAAATAATTCTGTTTCTGTATTTTTAAAATAAGCATATTTTAATGACAATATATTTATTGAACAAAAATGTATTATTTTCTAAAGTGAACTTAGACATTATGCAAAACATATTATTTTAGCTGAAGTATTTTTTTGCATCCTAGATAAATAAAAGTATTATTTTGGAATTTCCACAAATAAATAAATAAATGAGAAAAATTAGGTAGAGGCACGTATTTCCAATGAGTCTGGGTCGCAACTTTTATTATTCTCTATCAAGAGCATGATGACAAGCCAAGTCATATGCTGTCAATTTACTTTCTATTTGCTATGATTATGTTTAAAAAGTCAATGTCACGCTCGCTACCATCAATAAAGGACACTCTTACAGACGTCTCTCATCAGTAAAACAATCCTTTTCCTTTTTGGATTTTCACCACACTTTACCCCACCTTCTCAAAACATGTTACTTTAAGGCCAAAGGTGTTGCTGATCAAATCTGCCCTCCTGTCCACATCAGGACTAGCTTGCTGTGTTTTTGTTGGACTGATGTGGGGGATCTATAGGGCAGATCGTGGTCAATTGGTTGAGCAGATAAGTTTTGTCATCCAAGAAGAGACTACATTCAAGAGAGAGAGAGAGGGAGAGAGAGTATCTTCTATGAGGACAGCCCAGTGGGATTTCTTACAGAAGGGACATGAAAACTTTTACACTTCATGTTTCAAAGCAATGCACTTAAATAGGTCAGTTGACCTCATAACTTACACTCATAACTACTGTATTGAATATCACACATAGCTTCATTTACAACTTCATGGCCCTACCAAATTGACATCTTCCACGAATAAATATAATTTAAGCTTTTGTCTTCACAATCTTATTAAAAATATCATTGAATGTTCAACTTCAGTTTCAAATCAAAGTTTGAGATTTAGACAGAGCTTTTGTACACGAGAACATGTTTACCGTGTCCTGAGCATGAATAGAAATGTAGTGAAGAAAGAGAAAGAAAGCAAAGGAACAAACACTAATTGCCTTAGGGACAAAATAATGCTTTTAAGGGCAAAAAGCTGGTCCAAATGAACCTCAGTCAATTACATCTCTGAACCAAATGCTTTGGGTTATTTCAGCTCTTAGTGGTGAAAGATTGTGATGTAGCGCAACTACAATAGAAATGGACAGTGAATGCCTCTACCTATTCATCTCTACTCTCTAAAGCAAGTCATTTGTCAGAAACTCTCACTCCCTTTCTTTTTTACACTGTTTGAAGTTCACATCTATTTTTCACAGGCATAACACTCTCACCTCAGAACTGAGAAACATGCTGTAGGTTACTCACTTCTCCACATGAGCCGATGTTTGCTTGTAATCTACTGACATGCTGTAATTAACACCTCACTCAGAGCAAGCCATTTTTATACTGAAGTTGTGACTTTATCACCAAAAGAAGAACACATCCCAATTACAGGCAACTAAAGCTGAAATGCACCTGACAGCTTCCCTGACTGATAGTCAAATCATCTTTAATATCTACATGTATACGTTTAGTGTCCCTACCAAGACACATTTTGGCACTGAAAATTCAAATGCTGATGTGTTCATAAAGAGAAAAAATTCAGATAGACTGATGCACTCCGAATTGCCAAAAAACTAATTCTAATAGCCTTAATGAAACACAAGCGGGAGACCACAAAGATGGTTCTTGCATAGCAAAATTAATCAGCTGAAAAATCAATGAGGACAAAGTAAAAGTTAATACATTTTAAGATTACTTCATAAAGACCTAGAACATTGGGCACCTGACTCACCTGTACTTTCCTTCGTTTTTCTAACCCATTCTAGAAGACAGAATCGAGTGCCTTATATCATTTTAAAGAGGAGAACTTGAAGTTTCAATCCAGCTCATTTAAAGTCCCAATTTTACATTTATTTTGTCTGAGAATGGATGAATTTACCAGAATATTGGTGGGGGTTTTTTACGTGAGAACCTCCTGAAGTTTGGATTTTTTTTCCCTTCGAAAGTTATACTTGGATGTTCTAGACTTCCAGATACATTTTTGTCTAAATGTAACAATCCTTAAGCAAGTTATAGCCATTTATTACAACATTATTATTATAGTATTATATATATATATATAGGCGCTTTTCAGTGAAAAACTTCAGTTTTCAGTTTTTTTGGTTTACTGACCATGTAGATGTGACCCTAAAAAAAATTTTCAGGAAGTAAAGTCAATAGAAACATTGTTATTTAATACCAGAACAATGAATCAAAAGTATTCTCATGCAAATCTGTTATTATGTGTATCATGCACACAAATATGCATGCACACAACTACTTTCACTTTGCGTTTGTTTAAATTTCCAAAGAAACATGCTAATAATTGGTGGTTCAAAAGACCAAAACCTAAGTTTATTGTTTGAGCAGATGATAGTTTTAACCAATCTGGGCATGGGGGTGGGACTACACTTCAACAATAATTCTTATTGGCTCAGAGGAACAACCAATATATATTTCGGCTGTCTCTGTCTTTAAGGGTTAAGTAGCACTATTTAGTGTGTAGTAAAGTTTAATGCAAGATATTTCCATACTCTTCTTTACTTCAACTGAAAACTTGAGAAATCTACCCATGTTTCTATTTTATAAATGGAAAAGAGAGCAAACAGAGGAAGGCAAGGAAGAGGATCTCAAAATGTTTGCTCTTTATACTGCACCACCACAGAACAAGGGCCAAAGCATGTTAAGTGATTTAGGACCATTGCCAACAGCTGCCAAGAAGAGTGCATTAAGATAATGAAGCAGAAATGAGATCTACATAAAAAGTAAAATATGCATCATCTCATCAAGATATTAATAGGGGCCTAGCAAATTCATCTGGCTTCTTTTTGTGGTAACACTTTAGTATGGAGAACACATATTCATAAACTACAACTTTTGTCTCAATAAACTCCTAATTTACTGCTTATTAATACTTAGTACTGTAGTTTTGTAGCATTTAAGTTTAGGCATTGGGTAGGATTTAGATGTAGAATATGGTCGTGCAGAATAAGGCGTTAATATGTGCTTTATAAGTACTAATAAACAGCCAATATACTAGTAATATGCATGCTAATAAGCAACTAGTTAGAAGTGCGAATTCGACCCTTAAATAAAGACGTGTTACCATTTTGTTGATGTATATTTATGAGAACTTTCAGTATCAGTCTAGCAATTCACAACTCTTCACTTTAAATTGTGCCGTAACTTTTCCGTGTAGTATAATTTGTTTTGTATCTGGTGTGCTTAAAATTCAAACACCTTCTTCTGCTCTCTCTGGCTCAGTTCCAAAACTTAGTAAGCTGCTTTGTCCTCTATTGCCTATGTAGGCTGCTGCCTTTTAAAACCGCATCATACCTTAAATGTAGCTTCATGTGTGACTGATTTGGAACACTCTAAATAGGCGGCAACTCAGAGTGCTACTTCTGTAAAGCATTCAAATGACTCAACACATAGTCAATAGGGGCCAAGCACCAAAAGTCCGCAGGCACCCATTGTGATCGCTAGTGTTCTTATTGTTCTTATTCTTTTTCCACCATGGGAGTCAAGTCAAGCCCATAGAACCACTTGAGGGAAAGTTTGGACATTTGGCACACAGATAGGAAACTGTCTAATCATTTACCACAGCAAATTTGGAGTCTCTACCTCAATCCCTCTAGCGCCACCAACTGTCCAAATTTGCACTCACATTTATGCGAATAACTTTTGAACAATAAGGACTAGAATTTTTTCCTCAGATTCCTTGGCTCAAGACAATTCGATTACACCATATGACATAATTTCTCATCATTAGTCAAATCGTTCTCAAATAACGGCAAAATGATAGTGTCTCAGCAAAGCTTTGGCATATTCAGACCAATCTTGGTTTGTGTTATGACTACCATGACCTGAGGATACCTGCATAGTTTCGGCGCAGTGCCAGCTAGTTGTCAGGAGATATGAAAAATGGCTCTTTTTGCTTATAACTTCTGAACAGTTTGGCCAAAAATCACAAACATCTTTAGATCTCGTTTGACTCGGTTTCAGCATGCCAAGTCAAACGATACATCATTTTTCCATATAGGCCATTTTGGAGGAAACCCTACTTTTCCGAACCATTGGTCCGATTGCACCAAATTCAATTTAGATCATCTTCAGACCATGCCAGCAAAAAGTTATAGATTTTGTGTTGACAGACAAAACCGTTATCGTTTTACATATCAACTTGTTTGATGGCATGATGCCAAACTGTATCTGAGGCTGTATCTCAAGTTTTTGCTGGATTGACACCAAACTTTGAGCATGTCATTGTCAACCCCACTACCTCCACAAATTGGTCAAAAGTTATAAGCAATGAAATCATATTCCAAGTGATTGTATTTATAATTTTTTTCTAAAATCATCTACAATCATCTTAAATAATCTGGCCCCTTAATCGCTACTAGCATCTACATTTTCAAATGAGTCAGCCATTAACAAGTTAACAATGAACATAGAATAAATAGCACACACAAAAGGTAAAATAGTCTAACGGGTCTATAGTCTGTTTAATGAATACTTTGCAGGACTGAATGAATTATTATTAATTATATCTTACACTGTTTGGATTTAGTATTATCATACTGGTGCTTGCGCAGTGAGTCAATCAGTTTGTGAGGAAGCAAAAACCATGCTTACCAAACACAGTTCTGGCAGGTACTGACTCTTTGTCAATCCAGAAGGAGACCTGTGCTAGGATCACAGTCATAATGCAAGGGATGTATGTCTGGATCAAGAAGAAACCCATTTTCCTTTGCAGGTGGAAGTACACTGTCATGACTATGTATTCACCTGCAACAGATGGACATACGACATTAGTGGCACAGGCAATCCTAAACAAGTGTTCAAGAAACTGTACATTCCGTAGAAATACATTAAAGACGAATATAAAATCCTGTTTAACAAATGTCACATTCAACACATATGTTTAAGATTGATTTAAATCAGGACAAAGAACATTTAGTATTTCAACTGAAAAAAATGATGTTGGCAAGAGGTTGGTATTAAGTAAGCAAACCAGAAAACAACAGTCATTTGTCACTAAATCAAACGTCCCAAAGATCATACCTGTGTTTGACTTCAACCTCTCACTAGACACTGTCTGTCCAATGAGATCATACTGTAGTAGACTGGAACTCTCTTGAGGAACTTCCACTGAAAATAATGGTCCTTTCTTCCATGTGTAAACAATCTCACTCATTGGATAGGCATCTATATTATAGGCACAAATCAAAACTAAAGTCAGTCATACCAGTAAAACCATTCAAAGGGAATATGTGCCATTTTAACATATACATACAGCTGCCAAATTTCAAAGGGCATGAATGTCCATCCATTGGGAAATTTATCAATCGCATGGGGCACTCTGCATTGATGGTTAACCTGAAAACAATACACGTTTTACCTTTAATTTATGTGAAATAACAGTTGACCTTGTTATACCCTATATACAGTGGCAGTTCATATAGGAAAATCCTTTGTATACAATACATTTATTTATTTTATCGGCATAAACGAATAAGAATACATTGTATTACAGTTTTTTTTTCTTCAAATAATTAACCAGTACATGGTATATACTGTAATATAATCCACTGTTGTTGTTGTTGACTGCAGAGAATGTGTTATTTCATTTCTACTGCAATTTTAAAGAGCAAGTGTGCAGTCCATCTTTTGACTTGGAGAGCAAATGTTCTGGCACGCAGGTTACCTCATGGTGTACAGAATAGTTCCGTTCTGCATGATGCGGAACAGCTTGTTGGGAGTGGTCATGTTGTGCGAAATAGAACGTTTGCCATTTCGGAAGAAAGTGTCCGGTGTCCAGATATTGCTGACCATTAGGTTGTTGAGACGCAGGATCTCAATGGGGCCCTCAAATTTCAGCCGGTCATCAATCCATGTTTGCCGAAAAAACACATCCATTGTGTATTCCTAAGAAATGATTATTCTTTTTAGAGTTTGTGTTTTAGATATTCACATGTGGTTTCCATGACTGCAGTTTTAAATCAACAGAAATCTAAACTGTCATGTGCCGAGCATGTGATTTTCTTCTTTTTTTATATAAACAGCAACCCACGATACATTTGTATGAGTGAACACATCAGGTCATCGGGTATGTTTACGAATCAGGCTGGTATACATTCACCATCAGGAATGGTATTTTTATCTTTTTTTCCCCACTAATCTTGGCAGAGATTTATCTTTACTGTCTTTCGGATTGTCACAGTACATCACATGGCAAGCGAGGTGGCTTTGGACACTGTAGGAAAAATAGTGTAGTGTGTAACAGAGGAAAGAAAGCTGAGCCGGGACCCTCACTGTCAGGGATTGTCAACCAGATTAAAATCCCTAAGCTTCTATAATGACATCCTGCCCAAATGTCAGAATAATGAAGCCAGGCCAACATGAATAGAGGCAGTGGTCATAGTAAACATGCAATTACAGAGGATTTAGGTTTATATGCATGATTTCATGTATCATATATAATTGTTTTTAATCACATACCATTTCCACATCAGAAACAGGACCAAAGCTGGTGACAAATATGTCCGTTTTAACCTCTGTGACAGGACCTACAGTTTTTTCAAATATACAAAAGTGAAAGAAAGAAAGAAAGATGCTCCTTAGTTCACTCATTACAAACATTTGAAACATAATGACCTTATAAAGCAGTAAGGCAGTTTCTGATGATGAACTTGAGGAAGTCTGGCATGCAAAGTCCATAATCATTTACGGAGAAAATTTAAGTAAATCTATTTAATAAACTACATTAAGTAACACTTTAATATGTTAGGTAATTCTTGCAGTTGCTTACCTCCAAAACCAGGTCGGAGTCTGTTGTCATATCCATCTAACAACCTATCCAAAATGCGCGTAATGTTATCCAAATAAATCCTTGTCTCAGTCGGTGGATTTGCCGACACCTGCCCAACACTGTAAACATTTCCATACATTAATAAGCAAAGCAGAAAAACAAACATGTGTGAAGTCTGATTAAAACACTTTGCTACTTACCAAGACAGGAAAAAACATGTGCGTATCCAAGCCATGCTTTACGCGCACTCTCTATCCAAGTGTCCCCTTGTCAACTGGTGTTAGTTGCACATCCCATAATTTATGTGTGCAAAAGGAGCTGGTGTGGTTGCGAGGCTTGTGTGCGCATCCTAAAGCTTTTATGCGTGAAGTCTTGCTGGAGTTCCTCAGTGGAGTTCCTCTTCTGACTCACTCTGATGGAAAACTAAAGTGCTTTTAAAGAGGCAGAGAGATGTAACCAAAGGACATTGACAAAGATCGAATGAAGCATTATGAGGGATTAGAAGAGAAAGACTGCTGAATGTTCTACTGTTTGAATTTGCATAATGATTGCTCTGCTTTTCTGTCAGATTACAAACTTGATCATTAGTTAATGTACATTCAAAAACTAAACATGTCGTGAAACTTTACTTAATATATTCATATGTATAATTAAATTCGCCACTACTGATCTTTTAAGCATCATATAATATGATTTGCCAATTACTTATTAATGAAGGTTGTTTTAAAGTGTTACCAAAAGAATGTTGTGTTTGCTTACTTAGACATATTTCAATGATAAATACTACATTTTAGAGGTTTCCTCTTATGTAATATCCAAACGTTATAAAATAGCCTTTAGATTTAGAAGTTCGATTTTATTAGTTGCCGTGAAAAAATTTCACTTGTTTATATTTTATGGCTATTTTGCTTACCGTTAGGATGAGAATGTATAATATTAAGTAGAAAAATGTTGTTGTTATTGGTTTTTGTTGAAATATGGATTTTTTTATAAACTATGTATTTATTTATTTTTCTTTTGTGATTATTCAATACAAAATCTCTGATGCAATAAAATTTCATGCTCAGTTATATCATCGGCTGTCTGATGAAATGGTGATAAAATGGCTCTTTCTATATGCTGATACAGCCTTTTTCACACACTCAGAATTGATGGGATCACATCTGCCCCAATGATAGCTCTTTCCACAGGAGCTTACTTAAATGATGCTGTTCGAATCCTTCACCACTCACATTGAAACAACTCTGAGCCATTATCCTAATCCACAGTCATGAGGTTTTAATGCATCGAGTCATCATCCACCATTGGATTTCTCTTAAATGTTATGGCCATTCAGTGTGCACTATCAGTGTGTGACAATAACATGGTGACATGTGATCAGCAGGCTTTAAAAGTCTTCCACAGATTCATCAAAGACCTTGGATAAGTGAAGTTGCCATTAGGTTACTTCTTCCAGTTGCTGTCCACTCTCAATAATTTCATGAAATAAGGTCAGTTGGATCCATACCAAACCCAGATATGAGAATCATAGAGCTTTCAGGAAATATAATAATGGCTGAGGATGTTTTTGATATGACTGTTGAACAATGAGATTGAATGCGAAATACCAACAGAGGCAGGCCTGTTGACTACTGAAGCATGGCAACAACTGGGAGGCAAAACCCAAGCAGAGCGGGTCACTGGAGCATGAACAGGGGTTGAAGGTGTGCCAGCAGACATGGATCCTGTCCTTCTGGTCACAATAACACTACACCCAAGCAAATGTTCTCTGTTTGGTCAGTGCGGCACTTTGTAAATAACAGTGTAGTTTTGTGGCTCTTACAGGGGGAGGGGGGGTATGAACAGGGCACTGAAGGCAGTGATATGAACATCATACCAACCTCTAATTCAAGTTACACAGACTGGCATTGTGTCATGTGTGGATGATATATAGAGCGCATGAAGACGAAGAATGCATAGAATGTTCTTTTTATTTTAAAAAATCCAACAGATCGCAGGTATCAGGAGCAAAACAGCAGCCATTTAACGAAGATGAAACCGGATACTAGGAAAACAACAAGACAGGGAAAATATATACATGACCAAATGGAGGGACTAACGAGTTAATTAATGAACCTCAGGTGAACGGAATGAAACAGGCACACTACATCGACATTAATCCGGATACATTTGAAAACGGCGTCCGTCCACACTAGCGTTTTCAGGCGTTTTCCTACGTTTCATTGTGGATGCGAAACTTTTGGAAAACGCCTGAAAAAGCGAAATTCACCTTACTGCGCATGCACACCTTACATGATACATACGGAAAAATAAATAATAACGTTATCGTGCAATTCTTCTGAAAGGATCATTTCATTTAGCAAAATACCTCACCATTCACTGATGCGTCCAGGTCGCACTCAGTCAGCACAGTTTGGTCTAAAACGCAACGCCTCTCATGTTTTGCCGCAGGACAGCAAATGTGAGTAAATTCTGTAATCTTCAGGACTGTGATATGAAGAGTGTGCAAAGTAACATATTTTAGCAACAGTGTGAAAGTGAATAGCACATAACAGGCACAATACTGGTATAAACATGAATATCTATTAGTACAATATGCGCCACATGACTAAACTTATGTCCTTGTTTTTAAATGCCTCCAATTTTACAGTCCACACTATAACATGAAAACGCCGTTTTCAAATGTACCCACTTTGGAGAGCGTTTTCAAAAAGCTTTGTTTTCATAAATAGAGATGCCGTCTTGGTGTGGAAGGAAGGCCAAAACGGAAAGAAAAAGATGCACTTTCAAATGAAACGTATTAGTGTGGACAAGGCCTTAGAATGACAGAACCAAACACAATGAACAGAGCATAATCCTGACACATTGTATGTGACATTATATTTATACCGGTGACAGATGTGTACCTTATGAAATATCTTTCTGTTAAATCACTAGACAAACAATCTATTTAAGGTTCCTGCTGGACAACCCAGTTAATTCAATAAAATTGCTGCATTATTTTAACCCTGGCACATATCATTTGGTATTCATATAATTTGAATAAGAATAAGATGAATAATATCCTTGTCACAGAAGGATCAGGATGATGGAGGAGACTGCTGTAAGCCATATTTATTAATCAGTCAATGGTAAATACACACAAGGTGAAACAACGACGGATGGGGAGTACTGAACAATAACATATGGAACATGTAACAGCTGGATCATCCTCTGTTTGCCGCTGGACTTATGTTGAAGGGTTTCCTGTTCCTTGTTCCATGTTTGTAGTCCTTTTGTTAATTGGTTGCCCCTTTTAATTAGTCTTGATTGTTCCCAGGTGTGTCTTAGATTGTTAGCCCTTGTGCATTTAAGCCCCAGTATTTCCTGTGTTCTTTGTCAGGTCTTGTCCTTGTACGACTGTTTCTTTGGTGGTCTCAGTTCTGCACCTGGTGTTCAGTTTTGATCCTTGTCTTCCCTGGTGTTTAGTTATTATTTGTATTATTTTGTAGTGATGGGAAACCAAGGCTTTCTGAAGCCTTCTTTGCTCGAAGCTTTTAACACAATGTGCATTAGCGACATCTGGTAGGGATGGGCAAATGAAGCCTCATGAAGCACTGAGGCTTTCCCCTGATTGTTCCGGGAATAGATTCAAAGCTTCGAGAGTGTCGAAAACAACGCCATCTGGTGTTTAGCAAAAAATAAAGCAGCCAAAACCCTGTGAAAGAAGCTTCATCGGACGACGCAGCCACCGTACATTCCCTAGTTTCATGTTATGTGCACAAATAATAGCCTAACAGTGCATGTGTGTGTGTTGAATTTCTCTCTGTGATAAATTTGTTTAACCATTAAGCTGTGGAATTTAATGCCAGTATGAATATCAATTATGTAATAGAATAATAATGTACTGCATATGGCAAATATGTATATTTTTTTCCTGAAATAATTTGTATTCATTTTAATTGTATGACTGGGTATTTAAAAATGTAATTGAATAAGTCTAAATGAAAACTTACCAGTAAAGTAAGACCAGGGTGTTTGAACATTCCGACACGCAAAATGAACCGCGCACGTGACTTGACAGAAAGTGAGGCTTCGTTTGACATTGGTCACGTGATTTCTACGTTAACAACACAAGCCTTGAATCGCGGCTTCATCTGGCACGCCTATTTATGCTCGAAACGAGCTCTGACGCCTCGGTTCAAATGTCACATCATCACTAATATCTGGTGATCAGACTTGTTTTCTCCACCATATCTAAGAAATCATCACGGAGTAGAGGATATACGGTTTGAAAAAGCACGTGACCAAACAAAGTTTCGGAAGTCCGTGACATACAAGAGTGCAATCAATCTGGGATCAATACAGTTCTACCAGAAAGACTTGGTAGGCAAGAGAAAGTATGAATAAGATTTATTTAACAGTTTGTCATAGTTCTAGGTTGAATTCACAGTTATTTGTGCTTTTCCGCTACACTAGGGGGCGATGTCCTCAGTTTTGAGGGTGGAGGATGTGGATATAAGCAGAGAAGAAGTGAAGTTAAGGGAGGTGACAAAAAACATGGATGTGAGCTGTAGCTCAAGGTATTCATCTGTGGTTTGGTTTTTGAGGAGAAATTGTTGTTTTCGTTGCTACTCATTTAAGCCTTATGTTCTAATTGAGCACATCCTAAATAAGTCTTGAGACAAGTTTGTCTATTGGACTGTTTTATGCTAAGTTCGACCGCTTAATGCGCGTGGGAATTATCAATGGTTTATTGACTGAGTTTGTCATCTTCGAACTGCTTAAACCTGTCGAACTTCTTGTGGATGTTTATTGACTGAAATCATTGTGCCTTCATTGACTTTGAGAATGCTGGACTTGTGACAAGCAACGTTGGATACTCAGGTTTTTCTTATCATATAAACGATTGAACTGATATGTAAATATGGTATGTTTCTGAGTGGAGGGTGAACAACACGTTTGATGTTACTTGTTCGGCACTTAAATAAAATCACTGCAAAACTCAACGGATGGTACCCTACCTCTTACAATGATTTCGTTCTATCTTTTGAAATTTAAGATGGTGTGTTACAAGTTTGTATGCAAATTAAATGTTAAAGTTCTTTGGCGTAGGCCCCATCCGTAATCCAAATCCGTAGGGTAGAAGACAGTTGCAGTTCCTGCCTGAAGATGAAGGCAGGGGCGGAGCCTACCCCCGATGGATGGACAGGGGCCGATCTGGTGATGGTGGTGAACGCCGGTGTTGTGCCGAATTTCGACCCCCTGCCAAATTATTACCCCCCTCGTTGAAGTCAGTACCTGAATGCCTAATCCCAACCCCGCCCCTAATCCTAACCCCTCCCCCACAACTAATCCTAAACCTACCAATGCTAGGGGGGTAATAATTTAGCGGGGGTCGAAATTCGGCGCAACACCGGCGTCAGGTTCTGCGAACGTAGTAATGGGTGTTAACCGGGCTTAAATAATACATATGTC